GGCCGATGCTCTAACTGCTGAGCCAAACCGGCCAGGGCGAAAAAAATTTTAATTATAACCCTGAATCCTCCCCTCCATCTCCCTCAACCCCTGCCCGCCCCGCCCCCCCCCAAAACAAAAGACAAAGAGAAGGTAGCATAAAACATACTGGTTATAGTAAATATATAGTCAAATTTAGATTCTGTAATGCGATAATGGTGATGTATCCTTCACTTACAACTCTAATGTAAAAGTTAGAAAACAAATGTAATAAAAATAACCAGAAATGCAATAATCTATTATTGTTTACAAAATAAAACATATGTTAACTGAAACATCAATAACCTAAAAAGTGAGGGGGAGGAAAGTGAAAGAATAAATTTTAGGACTTTCATTGAAGTGATCAGTTCAAAACTGGGTGTTATGTTAACCTGTTAACCGGGGAATTCCCTTTTCACTGTATGGAACGTTTGACGTATTTATACGTCCCGCTCGGTTAACAGGTTAAGATGTTCTATACAAGCCTCATGGTAACCACAAGGGAAAAACCTGTAGTAATTACACAAAAGAACATGATAAAGACATCAAAGCAGCCCTGGCTGGTTTGGCTCAGTGTTTAGAGTGTCAGCCCTCGGACCCAAGACACGTGAGTTTGATTCCCGGTCAAGGGCACATTATGTACCTCGGTTGCAGGTTCCATCCCCAGGTTCGGGTCATGCAGGAGGCAGCCAAACAATGTGTCTCTCTCACATTGTTATTTCTCTCCCTCCCTTCCAATCTCTAAAAATAAATGGAAAAATAGTCTCAGGTGAGAATTAAAAAAAAAAAGTCAAAGCATGCTAACACTAAAAGACATCAACACACAGAACTGTACACCTTAAACTTATAAAATGCCATATGTCAACTATATCTGGAAAAAAAAATTCTTTTAAGTTGGGAAGATTAAAAAGTCTAACAATCTGATATATTAAAACAAATCTCACTTTAGTCATTGTGCATTTGTTGTTTACTAGTGATGCCAAACATTTTTTTTTTTTAATCCTCACCCGAGGACATTTTTCCATTCTTTATTCAGACAGAGGGAGAGAGAGGAAGAGAGAGAGAGAAACATCGATGTGAAAGGGATACATCAAGTGGCTGCCACCCGCACACCCTGCGGGGACAAACTGCAACCTAAGTACATACCCTTAGCAGGAACTGAACCTGGGTCTCTCTGGACCACAGGCCGACGCTCTAACCGCTGAGCAAACAGGCCAGGGCAATGCCAAATACTTTTTAAAACTTATCTTTATTGTTGAAAGTATTACAGATGTATCCCCTTTACCCCATTGACACCCTCCTCCCCAATGCCACCCCCCTGCTGCCTTCCCCACACTGTTGTCTGTGCCGTTGGTTATGCAGATGTGCATAGAAGTTCTTTATCTCATCCAGCCCTCCCTCCCCACTTCCCTTTGAGGTGCCTCAGTCTAACAACCAATTTGCACTTCTTAATTCCTTCACCTTTTTTGCCCATCCTCTCAACCACCCTCCCATCTGGCAACCAACGAAAAGTCCTCTGTATCTATGAGTCTGTTTCTGGATGCTGAACATATTTTATAGCTCGCTTTTAAGTCTTCTATGAATTGCATGTATATGCCATATGTGCATTTTTCTACGAAGTTTTTTACCTTCTTTTTTTAAAAAAATGTTAAGCTTTGTTTATATACTAAGATCCATAATCTGTAGTTAAATGTTGCAAAAATATTCCATTTTTTCTTTTGCTTTTTACCTATTTCATGGTAGCTTTTTTGAGGTTCAGAAATTTTCATACAGCCAAACATTAATTTTTTTCTTTTTTCTTTTTTTTTTTAACATTCTTAAATTTACTTTTAAGTAATATAATTCAAGTGATGATCCAGTACCTCATTGATAAACATCTTCCTTTGATACTATGTGCCTTCATTCACACAGACTTTTATTTTATTTTATTTTATTTTATTATTATTATTTTTTTATCCTCACCCGAGGACATTTTTTTTTTGATATTTTGTTCAGATAGAGTGGGAGGGAGAGAGAGAGAGAGAGAAACATCGATGTGAAAGGGACACATCGAGTGGTTGCCACCCACACAACCCAACCAGGGCCGGGGACAAACTGCAACCGAGGTACGCGCCCTTAGCGGGAACCGAACCCGGGTCTCTCGGGACCGAAGGCCGACGCTCTAACTGCTGAGCCAAACTGGCCAGGGCATTAATTTTTTTCTTTTTTTTTTTTTTTTTTTTTTTAATCCTCATCCGAGGACATTTTTCCATTTTTTGTACAGACAGTGTGGGAGGGAGAGAGAGGAAGAGAGAGAGAGGGAAACATCGATGTGAAAGGGACACATCGAGTGGCTGCCACCCACACGACCAACCAGGGCCGGGGACAAACTGCAACCGAGGTACATGCCCTTAGCGGGAACCGAACCCGGGTCTCTCAGGACTGCAGGCCGACGCTCTAACCGCTGAGCCAAACTGGCCAGGGCATTAATTTTTTTCTTGTATGGTTTCTTTTCTTTCTTTTATACTCACACCCAGAGATATTTCTAAAACATCAATTTGATCATACCCTTGACTAAAATTTTCCAGACGTTCCTGGAAGGGGGGGGATGCAACCTCCCAAAGCTACTGCCACCCAGCAGGCACTCCGGCTTCCCATCATGCCCAGCAATCGCCAAGCAATTGCACTGAGTCCTCTCCGCCTGGCTCCCTCTGCTTGGGCAGCAAGCCCCCCACCAGCCCACAGGCTCCCCTCGCCCCCTCCCCGTTTCCCTGCATCACTGAAGCCCCAGCTCACACATGACCAGCACCTAGTCCCCAGAGGGTTCATTAGTGGTTTGTAAAACGAATAACTCAAACAACAAGAAAAGTCTAAAACAGTTCTCAACTTGTGGGTCGCGACCCCTATGGGGGTCGCACGACCCTTTCACAGGGGTCGCCTAAGACATAACAATAGCAAAATCCCAGTTATGAAGTAGCAACGAAAATAATTTTATGGTTGGGGGGTCACCACAACATGAGGAACGGTATTCAAGGGTCGGGGCATTAGGAAGGTTGAGAACCACTGGTCTAAAATAATATAGGGCACTTGGTTCTTGGGGTTAGTTTAGGATCAAAAGATTGGACAGAGAGGTGCTGGGGGCTGAGTCTCAGTGCTAACCAAGGAGACAAATGAGGGAACAGAGCACGGGTGGGTGCTCAGAAGTGGGTGGAACAGAGTTGGGGGGGTGCTGCAGGCAAAGAGCAGGTTACATCGACTGGCAGCTCTGGGAGGCCTGGCTTGGGGCCAGGGCTGGGCTCCCCAGAACGGCAGTGTCAGGAAGGACTGGGCTCCAAAACCCCAGGCAACAGTCACCTGACGTCCCAGTCTAGAACATCCACCTTATCATCCACCCTCCTGCACCCCCGCAGCCCCCACACCAACAAATGGCATCGCCGGCTTTCCAGTTTCCCAGGCTAGAAACCGGAGTCACTTGATTCTTGCTCCTCCCACACTCCACATCCCATCTGTCAGCAAGTCCTGTTGGCTCTGCCCTCGGTATGTAGCCAGACCGCATCGTGCGTGATTCCAGTTAGATGGTTTTTCAAAACTGCACGACAGAAACCAGATCTGTTGCCAGAGGCTGAGGGAGGGGGTGAATATCAAGGGTCCTGAGGCAATCAGGTGTGGATGGAATATTCCTATAATTTGTTTGTGGTGCTAATCACACGACTGCACGCATTTAGCAAAACTCACAGAACTGTATGCTAGAAAGTTTTACTGGAAGGAAATGGTACCTTAATAAAACTAGGGGAAAAGAACATACTGGGACTCCACCCTCATGGCCATCACCCTGGTCCAAGGCACATCACAGCGTTAGATTCCCTGCCCTTGCTTCGCTGTGGTCTGCTCCCAGCACTGCAGAGAGGTCCTTTTTTTTTTTTTTTAATAATTAACTTTATTTTTAATTTTTTTTCTTTATTGATATGAGAGAGAGAGGGGAAGAGAAAGGGGGGGGAGAGAGAGAAACATTGATGAGAGACAACATCGACTGGCCGCCTCCTGCATGCCCCCACTGGGGATCGGGCCCACAACCTGGGCATGTGCCCTGACCGGGAATCAAACTGGCGACCTCTTGGTGCATGGGTCGACGCTCAACCACTGAGCCACACCAGCTGGGCCAGAGGAGTCCTTTTAAACCAAAAGTAAATTTGTTCCTCTTTTGCTCAGAGCTCAAGAGGTTTCTCTTCTCCTCAGAGTAAAGGCCAAAATTCCTACATGGCCAAGACCTACATGGCACAGTTCGCTGTGACTTTTCTGGTGACCTCCCCCTAATCCCCTCTCTCCCTGCCCCTCCTCAGCCACGTGACCACTCTGGCCACCAAGGTGTCCTCGCTCCTCCTTGGACATGAACTACATGCTCCCTTCTTGGGGTTCTCTGTCTGCAGTGGGCTTCCTCCCGAGTTCCCCTCACATGGCTTCCTCCCTCCCCTCAGGTCTTTGCTCAAAGAGCACCTGCTCAGGGAGGCCTCCCGAGCACCCTACTTACGGTCCCCGGGTTCACATCCCTCTCATTTTTTATTTGCTATCCTCTGTCATTTTCTTTTTCTCACAGACTATCGTTCCATCTGATATATGACATCTTCCATTGCTTTTGTTTGTGTGACTCCTTCTATCCCTAAGGACAGGGATCTTTGTTTTCTTTCCTGCCACCCTTCTGGCACCTGGGACATTGCTGTTCGCCTGGCCAATAACAGACACTCACTGGGATTTTGCAGATGGAGGCCGAGAAGGCACAAGGGAAGGGGCGCCGAGGACCAGCTCGGAGGGTTCCTCCCATGTCAGCGCTCACTGTGCCTCCGTTCCACGCGGCTCTTCCCCACAGTCTTGCCCAACATGGGCTGGAGCACAAGTCTGCGTGGGGGCGCAGACGTTTGGGGGGTGGCTCACCTTCCTGCCTTTCCTTTTGGCGTTGCTGCCCTCTCAGATGGCTAACAGCTGCTTTCTCTCAAATCTCTCTCCAGAAGCAGATGTTCCAGGAGAGGAGTAGCCGGATGCTGCAGGCCCTGTCCCCAAAGCAGAGCCCCGTGAGCAGCCCCACCAGGAGCCGGTCCCCTTCCCGCTCCCCATCGCCCACCTTCTCATGGCTCCCGATCAAAACCTCCCCCCCTTCCTCCCCCAAAGCTGCCTCCGCCTCCATCAGCAGCCTGAGCGAGGGGGATGAGGATGAGAAGTAAAGGCTGCTGGCAGAAAATCCGAGCCATACCACGCGGGCTGGGGAGGAGGGCGGGGACACCGGGGAGGCCTGGGTGGTGGTGGTTGAAGGGTAAGAGTCGCAGCAGCTGCAGCGCGGCAGGGAGACCTGGAGCTCTGCTAAGGGAAGGCCTTGGGGCCGGCTCCCCCTCAGTCTCCACTCAGCCCAACACCTGGGTTCTGCATGGAGGTTTCCAGCCGGACAACCTATACAAACCTTAGCGTCATTTAGAATCAGTCTACTTTAACCTTGCTAAGGAGAGACGCAGAGCACCCCCAGGAGACTCGCACCCAGTGGGGCGCCTTCTGCTTTGGTCCTTACACCCACCCTCACAAGCACACCGCCCATGGAAGCGGCTGTTCCCTCAACCTGCTACTTCCGGCCCCCAAGGGCCCTGCACGATGCCCCCTGCCACCCAAGCTCTGCCAGAATTAACCTGTCCCCAATAGAAACAGTTGAGTCCAAGGCAAATGCCAACCTTCACAGTTTAGCCACCGAGACCCAAGGTCGCATCCAGAAATGTGGCGCACCGACAAAGCCCGACTTTAGGCCAGACATATAAAAGGTCACCTAGTGTGACCCTTCGTTTCTTACTCAAGGGACAGCTTTGTCAAGGAGAGCACCACGTAAGGCCGAATGTGCTCCTGGTTGTACTTTTGCATCATTGGTTTGACTTCATCGTTTTCCCCAAATTGCCTTCGTTTGTGGGAAACGCAGCCAAGGAAAACATCGTATCGGGGAAAAGGCAAGTGGAGCCGCTGGCTTTGCTCCGAGTCTAGCGGATGGTCAGCATCTCCCGAAGCTTCTCCTTCAAGGACGCTGTGTGGAACGGCTTCCCCATTTCTGACCAGTTGTTTCATAGACCGCAAGTAACAGTTTGATGTACCAAGCTACGTAGTATACCAGTAGGGGGTGCTGCCTGCACGTACCTGTGCTGTAACATGCCATCCAGGGTGCAGACCGTATACAGCCCGAAGATATGGTGGTGGCATTTGACAGTATCCTCCTCTCCCGTTCTCACTCCTGTAACCCCGCTGAAATCCTTGGTCTCAAGGACTATCTGGTTCCCTTGTGACTTGGGCCCTTTGTCAAAAGCTCATCCTGGATTCCTGTAGAAATGTCATGGACCAACCAGGAAATTAGTCCGTTTCTCTCATGGCCTCCCGTCAGTTGGGAGGGAAGGGAGGCTCTGAAGTTCCACAGAGCCCTGGGGGAGCCTGAGTTCTTTTTTTTTTTTTTTTAAATCCTCACCCGAGGATATTTTTCCATTTTTTGTACAGATAGAGTGGGAGGGAGGGAGAGGAAGGGAGACACAGACAGAAACATTGACGTGAAGGGACACATCGAGTGGCTGCCACCCACACAACCAACCAGGGCCGGGGATAAACTGCAACCGAAGTACGTGCCCTTAGCGGGAACCGAACCCAGGTCTCTCCAGACCGCAGGCCGACGCTCTAACCGCTGAGCCAAACTGGCCAGGGCAGAGCCTGAGTTCTAAGCTCAGCATCTGAAGGGTCTGGGGAGCACTGTAGGTATTCCTGGCCCTAGGTTTGCCAAACGGGATGCCGACCCTAAGCATTCCTGCTGAGTTGCCTGAAGTTCCTGTCCCCTCACCCCAGGGCAGAAGTGAGCAGGTACAGTGAAGGTGCAGAACCACACTGTTGGGTAGAAGAGGCATCGCCTGGCTGTCCCGGTAAAGCCAGAGGCAGAGGCCCGAACCAGCAACCTGTAGGCAGAGCCCGGCGTCTCTTGTGACAGAAACACCTCTCTTCAGAGGCCTTGGGAACCGGCCTTCTGGGTGACACGCGGGGCGACCGGTGAAGAAAGGTGGCATGTCTTTCCCCCTTGTGTTGGGGTCGAACTACCTCCCTGCTCACCTGGAGATGAGCGGTGTTTGCTGGGAAATGAAACCGTGAGGCTAAGCTGGCTTGAAACCGCCCGGTCCTGGCACTTCCCCCAGAACTCTGTGGGGCACTCCTGTGGGACAGAGCTGCCAGGAACGTGGCACGTGAGAAGAAGTGTTCTTTTTGCAGGCAAGGCCTACAGCACTGCTCTGCAGAGAGAGCAAGGCCCTTCTGGTCTCTCTCTTCGCTCACGCACTCAGGGCAAACGGGGCACGTCCGCCTGCTGCTTCAGTCGGGTGCCAGTCTTAGCAGGAGACCAGCAGCGGGACGGGCAAGGTGGTGAGAAACAAGGGAAGAGAAAAGAGGTGCCTGGAGAGAGACCCAGGGCAGACAGATCCACTCTTACCTGAATCCTGCTCTAGAGCAAACAGTGTGGGGCTTGATGTACCAGGCTGATTATATTTGTGCTCCTTGTACCCCGTACTGACAGGTGCCACTTATGTGACTCAGATTCAGTGCCATCACAATGGCCAATTATGAGAAAGGCCCAATACCTGGGATATTCCAGAGATGGGCCACAACAACCCACAAGTGGGTTCTAAATCTCACCTGATGTCCCCTCCTGACCTCTGTAACACCTCCTAAGGCTACGAGACTACTGAGAAGGAATGGGGGGGGGGCAGTCCTGCGACCTAACATTTGATGCTTTCTGGCCATCAGTTTCTACCAGCTCCCCCCCTTCCCAGGGGGAGATGGGGTTGCTGTCTGGGCCGGCCGGTCAACACTGATGCCCGCCAGTTAGTGAGGGCTGCAATGTACAAAGTATGATTCGAGTTTGAGGCGCTCAACAAAAATGACACAAAGCAAGGAAGGATAATTTTGCTCCAGAAAGGGAAGGAAGCTTTGGACGGAGGACCAACACACACCCCTTAGGGTTGTGGGAGGGGGCAGAGTAAATGAAGGAGGGTGGGGGTGGGAGAGTGGTTACCCCCCAACAGATGAAGTCATGCTTCCTTTCATGGACACCCAAAGTCAGTGGGTACCCTCGGGATGAGTCTCCGGGCCCCTGGCTTCCCCATTTCTCCATTAGCTGCCACACCCTCCTCCTCGAGGGACCCTGAAATCAAATGTTCACCCTTCCACCAGCTAAACACATGGGGGACTTCTAATGTCATAGTCACATTGAACAGCCCATTTGTGAGAAGCCAGCTTCTGTGTGCCGGGACCTTACGAAGGTAAACCACCTCAAGAAGAGTGACCCCAAGACTGAAGTCTACCTTCTGACCCTCTCTCTGGGGAAGAGACACAGCTGCGGGACTGCGCTCTTGCTCCACGCCTCGGGCTGTAGTTGCTGTGAGTCCATCCTTAGAGGGAGGGACAGAAAGCGCCGATTTGTTTTCTCTCCATCTTCAGGCCTCATTTGAGCACCCAGCCGCACCCCAGCGCAAGATGCGAGACAGAGGCACAGACTCAGCTGAGTCAGATGAGCCCAAATGGAGCAGGGGCATCCCTGTGCCTCGGGCACCCGATCAGCATCAGTCTTGCCCATAAGCTCATAAGGCATTTGCAACTTCTTCTCTCTAGACTTGCGTTTTTTTGTTGCGTCACTGCAATGTGTTCCGGGACAAAGCCATAAGAAGAGCAGCCCTACCTAAGACTATGCTGTACATATAAGACAAGACGACGATGACTCACCTGGGTTAAAGTACGACCTTACGCCCAAGCATTTGCTCCGGTGCTGAATAATGCAAACTACTGGAATCAGCCCTCAACCCTACCCCAACCCTTCCGCTCCAAACCCTCTCCTGCTCCCAAACGGAACACGGCATTTCCAACCTGTTTATAAATAAAGGGATACACAATTGCACTTTCGCTTGCTGTGTTTCTCCAAAGTGTGCAAAAACACAGGTGTGGCGGCTGGCCTGGCTCTGCTCAGCTGTGTCCCCAGCACTTAAGGATGGGACTCTATGCTGTTCAGCACAGGACAGAGTCTTGGAGTTGCCAAAGGGCCCAGCCCTGGCTTAAAAGCAAGTTAGGAACATACCTTCCTGGAGGGGAAGTCGGGGGGTGGGGGGCAGCCCCGTCGGGACCCTGGCTTGTAGGATCCCCCACCAACTTGCCTTGTTACCTTGGCCAAGCCACTTCTCTGACCTCAGTGTCTGCTTTTGTAGAATGAGGGGTTGGAGGGAATGATTTCTGAGGTCTCCTTGGACTGTAAAGGTCTCTAAATTTATGACGCAGCCCGCATTGTCCAAAAGCTTCTCCAGCTATGATGCTATCACTGAATGGCCATGAGAAAGTGCTTACCTGTCACTGACTGGGGAAGCTGGAGAGGTCGCCTTCCAACTGCGGGTCTCACTCCTACAGAATCTCAGGCTCCACCCACCTTTCTTATACCTGGTGGAGTGCTTATCACCTGGACTGACACGTGGGGGCGTGCCCACGTCTACCCCTTTTCCATCTTTGGGGCAAAGCTCCTTTGATCAGCTGGAAGCTGATACATGGGGGTGGAGACACTAAATCAGGATCCCAAATGTCAACAATTAATGCAGAACCCCCCCCCCCACACACACACACACACCCCACCCCACTCCCCCGCCACATACCCTGCCCCTGTTCTGAAAATTGCGTTCAGGCCTTCCACTAGCTGAATTTAGGAGCTTATATTAACTCCATCTGGTGAGGTCTAGCTCTTTGAAATGACAACAGTTCTAACATTAACCCAGAAAATAAGGCCAGGCCTGTAGTCAGCAAAGGAATTCATTTAAAAACAGAACACCTGTTATTCACAGATCAAAAGCATTCTTGACAGGCTGTATTTAGAGTCCCAGTTACATGTTTTTTTCTTAACTTCCACGATACCTCAGAAATGTTTTCAAGGGCAAAACAATCAGTTGTAAGGCATAGCAAAGCTCATGTTTAAGAACTCTGACATTTGCCCCAAAGAGAAATAGCCTGTGTTAATAAATACAACACCTGAGATTAAAAGATACACTATCAAAAATGTTTACACACAGAGTCCTCTTGTACTGGCGTTCTCATTGGCTATTTTTTATCCTCACCCGAGGACATTTTTTCCACTTTTTGTTCAGGTAGAGTGGGAGAGAGAGAGAGGAACAGAGAGAGAGAGAGAAACATCGATGTGAAAGAAACACATCGAGTGGCTGCCACCCGCACAACCGACCAGGGCCGGGGACAAACTGCAACCGAGGTACGTGCCCTTAGCGGGAACCGAACCCGGGTCTCTCAGGACCGCAGGCCGACGCTCTAACCGCTGAGCCAAACCGGCCAGGGCTCTCATTGGCTATTGAAGTTGAATGTTCAAGCTACTTCTTTAGGTATTCAGCAGGAGCTATTAGTTTTTTTAAAAGATACCCCCCAACAGCTCTGGCTGGTGTGCTCAGTGGTTAGAGCATCAGCACACGCACTGAGGGGTCACGGGTTCAATTTCTGATCAAGGGCACGTGCCTGGGTTGCAGGTTTGATCCCCAGCCCCAGTCAGGGCACATGTGAGAGGCAACCAATCATGTGTCTGTCTCACATCAATGTTTTTTTTTCTCTCTCTCTCCTCCATCCCCTACTCCCTCCCTCACTCTGTCTCTAAAAATCAGTGGAAAATATCCTCCAGTGAGGATTAACAAAAAAGACTCACAGAGATGCTTTTCAAACAAAACATGATAGTTCATAAGCACCAAAGTCTATCCTGTGATCAAATTATTTAAGAAACCATCAAGTAGCCCTGGCTGGTTTGGCTCAGCGGTTAGAGCCTTCGCCTGCGGTCCGGAGAGACCCAGGTTCGGTTCCCGCTAAGGGCACGTACCTCGGTTGCAGTTTGTCCCCGGCCCTGGTTGGTTGTGGGGGTGGCAGCCACTCGATGTGTCCCTTTCACGTCGATGTTTCTCTCTCTCTCTGTTCCTCTCTCTCCCTCCCACTCTACCTGAACAAAAAATGGAAGAATGTCCTCGGGTGAGGATGATTAAAAAAAAAAAAAAAGAAACCATCAAGTACAAACCAATAAATAACCAGTAAAATTGGAAAATATCATTAAAGGCATAAATATCTGTAGTGCTAACTGATCTGTATTTTAGGCCCTCCTGAACTGTCATATCTATATTCTAGAAAGCCCACCCCATTAGCTGAATCTAAGCTGCAATTGACCAGATGTGGGCAATGTGAGGAGAAATATTCACAGTATGGTTGGCTTCTACTGTCTCCTACAAGCAACGTTTATTCTTCTTACCTTCATTATCTTTCTTGGGGGGTTGGAGAAAAAAATTCATTTGCACGGTTACTATATTCTATTAATAAAAGCAGGGTTTAGACATAAGTAAAATATTTTATATAGAACCTTCCATTTTCAAAGAATGAATGACTCCATACCTGAGA